GAAGCCCATTAGAAAGTCTGAACAGTGGGACGTAATCGTTTCGTGGCCGCAATCGCAATGGATGAAATGCATTAATGCCAAGTCAAAGTTTCGTGGCTGAAAATCGATTTGCATGCGCTCTTTGCATTTCCGGTTCCTTACACACACACACACACGCCGGCGCGCACACACATGCGACGACTTAATTACAGTTTTAAATAACCCATCTAACTGGAATTTGCGCAAAGTGCGGCACAGTTGCAATTGCCGCTGGCTGTGCCCCGCTCTGGCTGCCCATTGTTGTTGCCGCTCGTAAAGCCCCCGAAAATGCACTCGAGTTAATTGCCATTGGCTCGACTTTTGGCCAACTTGGCCGGAGTCCTGCGGGCTGCTGCTGCCTCTGCTGCTGCCTCTGCTACTGCCGGTGGATTTTATTGCCAGCCATTTTGAATACCATTTCGTGGTTTATTACTTTTGTGGCCAGGCAGATTCTCAAGTAGAGCCCCAAGTGCATGGCATACACACACACACACGCGGCGGCAGAGACTGGTGTGAATGCACTTTCGATTGCCGTCGCGCACACCTCGACTGAAAGTTGAATATATACAGTGAACGCTTTTATAATCGGACATCCAAAGTCAATGCCAAATTATGGAAGGTGGGAGAGTTGTATATTATTTTAATTTTAAAACCTAAAACAAGTAATGTTAAACAAATACCAAAAAAATATCTCTGTGGCTTGTGACTTGTCAAAATTGAAGCTTAAAAAAATATATATATAAGCTGTTGAATTTTTAAAATAACATAACTCTTTTGCTACGTCAATTTTTCCTTTTCAAATACAATGTTCAATTTATGTTTGACAGTTTAAATATGTTTTTTGGTGCCATTTTATGGCTTTGAGAACAGATTTGCGATTTACATAATCGCTAATTAATTGATTAATTTTTAATAATATAATTGGCAGCCACTAAGCGAAAATGAAGAAGCATTTGCATTTTTGAGGTAACACGAAACTAACAATTTTTACTATTATTTTGTTTTAAACATATTTATATTACATATTACATTTCATAAATAGATCAAATATTTTTTCTTGCTGCCATTTATCGCTCTGATGAAAATAAGTGACTTACATAATCGCCAATCAATTAATTAATTTGAAATAATAATACAACATATAAGCTTTAAAAAAATTAAAAGCAATTGCAATTTAAATCTTATTTTAGGCACATTTATTATTTGAGAGATTTCCTTAATAGATCAAAAATTCGCTTCTTGCTGCGTTTTAAAGCTCTGAGTAGGATAAGAGATTAAAAAATTTTTTGATATAAAATATTTTTGAAAATATAATTGACAGGTGCTAAGCGTAACATAAACAATTTACAGCAACTATTTAAACGACCAAGAGACTTTGTCTTGTTAAATTTACAAAATTTGATTCAAAAATATTTTATAAAGATTTTTTTAAGCTTCAGACCTTAGACAATTCTTGCCTGTGAGTTTAATTGCTTCTGCATGTATATGCGGGATGTTAAGAATAATATTATTTTTATTTAAATGCAGGATTATGTGCCGACGCAATTTGTCCGGTTATGTGGGCTGTCCATGTTGGGAGCTTTCACTGTATTAAAGAGTGTTCCCTATGCATATCAGGCTGCACTCCTGCCCTCGCTGGACACTGGCCTGAAGCAGAGCCAACGCACGCTCGACCGAGTTTTCACTGTATACATGCATATATATATATATGTATATATATATATATAGTTGTGTGTATTTATGGTGCAGGCCAGTGGCCAACGCTGACGATTATGGCAGTTAGCGTGGGCCGTAACATGGATTATGGCTGCTTTTTGACAGCCACAACACAGCCGTTTGGGGCCAACACGCAGAGCTGCCGTTTTGCAGTGCAGCAAATTTTATTATTTAAGCGCCCGGCAACCGCCACGCCCCTTTCCCCTTTCGGCAGACGGCAGCCTGGCAACCAAGCTGGCTTTAAAAATCAATTAACCTTGATTGCGGCCGTACTCAATAAGTTTTCTCTCTTTTTTTTTTTTTTATGGTTGCCAACGAGCAGACCAGGTCAACCAGGCCGACGTTGTCTTTGTCCTTTCTGCTTGTTTATTATTCCGGCTTTGTTTTGTTGCCTTTATACATCCCCCGACCCCGACCCCTCCCTCTCCCCAGCGCATTGATGACTTGCAATATGGAGCATGACATGCGGCAACTAAATGCCTGTTACAGCCTGCCCAGTCACGCCCACTAAAATGCCAAATGTTAATTTTAATAATGCTCTGCTTGACCCCTTATCGAATGCCGAAGCTCAAACACAAACCAAATCCATAACAGTTAAATTTATATATATATATATATATGTTGTTTGTGTATATGAAAAACAATCTGATGGAAATCGCATTTCAAGGGTCAAAACGAAATCCCAGCAAAGGTGCGGACCATAAAAAAAGGCAAAATAAAAGCTGAAGCGAATCATAAAACGTAGCTAACCCTAAAAATCCACAGCTCAGCTGGTCCAGACAACAAAGCAAATTTTAACATTATAATTTTTAATATTTTTGCCTTTCGGCCTTGTCGTTGTTGTTGTTGTCGCTGTTGTTGTTGCCTTTGGTGTGAAGCTGTCAAATGCAGAGCACCCTAGACAGGGCTCTAGGTAAGGCTCTGGCTTGGTTCCGGACTGCAAGCTGTGACATCCTTACAAAATGTGGCAAACGGAAAGCACACACACGTGCACACACACACACACACACACACACAGAGGACACTCACATATACACTGGGCCGCCTGCTGCCTTTCAATTTTGGCATCTTCTTGCTCTCAGCTCTTGGCTTTCGTTTCTTTTTAACTTGAGTTGCCTTCGATTTCACGCAGCGCTGGCAATTTTATGCCAAAAAAAAAAGAAGAGAACCCAACTTGTAGCCCTGCCCCCGCCCATGCCGCCCTCCCGCCCCCCCCTCTCTGGCCCAGCCGTGGCTTAGCCTTGTTGTTGTCGCTGCTGTTGCTGTTGCTTGTTTACTGTCTTTTATTTATTTGCCCATATTTGGCTGTTGTTGTTGTTGTTGTTGTCCCGTCCCAAGCATGGGAAATCGAATTCGAATCACTTTCGGATATTTTGGTTATAAAGTCGGAAATTTTTGGCGACATTATTGTTTTCGACATTTTCCTAGTTTTTGGCAAACATTTTTCTCCCACTTCAAGACTCTCCCCCCTCCCCCTCCCGCTCTCTTGCTCTTTGTCTGTGACATTGTTTGGCTCTTTTGCGCATTGTCTGTGCCCCCCATTGAAAATTTATTGCTTCCAATTGAGTGCACGAAGCGGCAACAACAACCAGGAGCAGCAGGCAGCAACAGCTCGCGCTTGTCCTTGATATACACGTGCGTTCATGCTCCCTGTCCCTTGTTATGGTGCCCCGATCCCCTCCGTTCCCCTGGCGACTGCCCACGCTGTGCGCTGTGGCAACATATTGGTGAAGGAAGCACACATGTAAGCAAAATTGACAAGGCTAAAGGATATCGATGTCTGCTTATAATGTGCAACATATTAAACCTAAGCACACGCTCCCAGCGCTCGCCCGCTCTATAAATAACAGCAGCAGCAGCAGCAGCAGCAGCACACCTCAGCTCAGCTCAGCTCAGCTCGTCTCGCCCCCGGCATATCCCTCTCTCTCTCTCTGAAATAATCAAAGTTGCCGCCAAAACAGTTTTCACTTTGGCTGCTATTATTTTGCTGGCCCGGGCTGCCATTGATGTCCTTTTGGCCCTGCGGCTAATATATGAGTCCATGTCGCAGCGTTTTGGCCTCGCCTTCGCCTTCGCCTTTGCTTTTGTTTTTTTTTGTGACCCACTAGGCACATCAGTTTCCCTCCACCTACCCGGTAGCATCGACTCCAGTTGAGTTGATATTGATGATGTTATTAAAATAATAAATTATTTGAAAATTATGAACTGGCGCCATTTCTCATCACGTGCAGAACATTTGCCCAGTTCCTAAACATAAATCAAATGCTAGCCCTTACTTTAAGTGACTGCCACTCGAAGGCGGAACTTGTTAAAGGTTTAACTCACACAACAACAACTCACACACACTCGCACACACACACCCACACACTCACACACTTGACAGACACAAACAGACTTTAAAATTAGCAGTCAACTGTGCGTGTGGGACGATTTTGTCCAGCAACCGCTTTAAATTGAATTAACAATGTGTGTCCAATACCCTATGCTAACTTTAAATGGGTATATTAAAACATATAATATATATGTTTATTTGAGGAGGACATATCCGAACCTTTATCAGCACGTCCAGCTGATCACTATCAATATGTTGATGTTATTTGAAGTAAAATGTACAAATTTTAGGTGATATGTGCCTACAAAATCTTTTTATATCGTCCATAATATGCTATCGAATCGTTCTCTCTCTTCCTCTCTATTTCTTCCTCCCACAACCCTTTTCCAGCCGCATTCTTTAACTTAGTTAAATGTGCAAGCATTAATGAATTTATGAAAATCGCAAAGAAAGGCGCTTGCAGAGAATAAAAAAACAGAAAACGAGTAAGTGAGGGAGAGTGGTAGTGGGTAGGAGAAATCAAGCAGAAGGACAGAAGGATTGAGTGAAAAAAGAGTGAAGAAGAGATGAAATAAACACTTGTCATGTTTTGACCCTTCTATGGGTAAGAGACGTAAGAGGAAGCAGTAGGACATATCGATTGAGTGCAAAATAGGGTGAAGAAGAGATGAAATAAACACTTGCTTTGCTTCGATCCTTCTCTCATAATTGCGTTCTACGCATTTTTCTCACTTAAATTCTAACTCTGTAACTATTGCTGAAATTGATGAGAATCGCATAGAAGGGTGAACATGTAATACCAGTTTATTATAAGTTCTATTTTTTATATAGTTTATAGGGTATTATCTGTTTACGCATTCTGAACCAGGACACTTCCCCCTTTATTTTTTGCAGTTAAAAGCCAGACTTAAACGTCATTTGTTTCTGCACTTACCTGTAAAGTGGTTTGCCAGCGGTCTCACGGAACCAGAGCACCATATAGACACGATCGTCCTTAGCCTCGGGCTCAATGTCACACGGCAAGGATGCGGTGCGTCCCAGCACTGCCTCCACAGCCACAGTGCTAACTGCAAAGAGAGAGAAAGACGAGAGCGTGGTTAGACCAAAAGTCAATTATAAGCGAAGCGTGTGCAAATGCAGCCAGCTATCCAAGTTTAGTTTTAAATGCTACAACACGATGACTATTGACAAAGTCATTAACACAATATTAAATTGTCTGTTGTTGTTTTTGTTGCTGTTGTTGTTGTAGCTGCAATTACCTGACTCCTTCGTCGATTCCTTAAACATCAACAAATGTCAACAAAACGCTGCCTTTTAACTGTCACGCCAACGGCACGCAAAGCGAGCCAAAAAACGAAACCCAGCCGCACGACAGGTCCAACCCCTCCAACGCCTCCAACCCCTCCAACATTCCGTCTCCAACTTCAATTCGAAATGCCCGCCACACCCTGACCCTAAACCGCAATCGTAGCCATCGTCGTAGTCGCATAATCACAACCAAGTACGTGAGTGGGAATATTAATGCTAAATTGACGACAACGACAACGACAACTACGATGACGTCGCCAACAACAACAACAACTGGATGAGAATGCTCGACTAGGAGATACCCTGAATAGATCGCCGAGCTGGCGTTACATATATAAAAACGCTGCGATTGTGCCTCTTCTTCCTCCCTTGGACACACTCTATGAGAAATGGGTTCCGAATTATCTTCGGAGTTGAGTGCCCGAGATCTATACAATTTTCAAAGCCTAACTATATATGTATAAAATGTGTAAATATCAAAGTTGCAAGCTTTTAATAATTTTGTGGAAAACAGGATGAGTTTTCTATGATGATAAAATATTCTGGATCCGTGTATACTATACAAGAGTCAAGACATTTCAAATTTTGAGGAAGCTTCGAGATATGCTAACAATAAAACAATTTCTATATCAATTTCTATCGATTTTTTGTCTCTACTCTTATAGTTCCCGCAATCAGAGACAGAAGGACGAACGTGGCTAGATCGGGCCCGAAGAAACCGGCATCTCTCTATATCCTTATACCCTTTTGACCCACTTGCAATTTACAGGGTATTACAACGACAACAACTACAAGGAAATGATGACGATGGCAACGGCATTGCCTTCAATGAGCTCTGCTCCCAGTTTTATATCTAGTCCTAGCTGTCGTCCATCCGCCTGTCTAGCTGCGATTTCATGGCGGCCTCATCTTTTGCATTTAAACTGCCAATTGATGTCGGTGCAAAGAGATATGCGCCTAGGGCACAACCGGGAATTGGTGGGGCTGGCAAACTCTAAAGCCAATCCCGGCAAATGACAGTGGTTAAGGCGCTGGATTTCAACGGCCCGAGGCGATTGCTTGATGGCCCAATGGGCTTTGTCTGACCGCAGACAGCGCCTGCAATTGCCTATTCGATATATGAATATATATATGTATATATATAATTGCAGCGCGAAAGCTGCAGGAAGTGGAATTTGTTATCTAAAGCTTGATTGGAAGATAACATAAAAGGAATTGGGAAACTATTTCACAATATAAAAACATTGGACTACAGCTAAAATATCACACTCTATTCTAAATGTCTTCAAACTAGTCTAACTTTCTCGGAATTCGAATGTTTGCTAACAAATGTGGCTTTTAGGCGTCCATGATTCTAGATCTTAAAGGAAGGCACAAAGGTGTCTGTTGATTCTTTAGATCTTATTGAAAAGAGTTCAGAGATTTTGGCATAGCAAATGTTACGAAAGTTCTTGATTCCTCTTCGAAAATCTGCTTATATCTGTCAATATTTCTGTTTATTGAGATTTCAACTATCTTCAAAAACGATCTTTAAACATTGCAAATCTTATAAATCAAACTTTTCGCCAAGAGCGGATGCTAAGAAATCTTTTGAATAAAAGTATTTTTTAGCTAATAAACTTTAGTCTTAAGTTTCCTCATATACTTCCTTCCTGACATATCTTTCCTTTTATTATGTGGATATAAGTTAATTTCTGATAATGTGTTTTCCGTCTTCTTTGGATTTTGAGGTTTAAACTTCGTGCTTAGTGTGTTAAGGCCAGGTGTCAAAGGCAAATTCCGCACAAGACAAGAAAGTCCCGCCAAGTCCTTACATTTAATACAGGAGATAATTTGTTCGGCATGTTGATAAACTTTCCCAAGTACTGTACTATAGTTATCTCACTTTAACTTAGAACTTTTTTGTTTTCACTATTTTTTATATAATATCTAATATCTCTAAAGCAATACTTAATTCTACTCATAAACGCTTTTACGGAGTCAAACTTAGTAAATTTATTTATATCTATTTACTTCCGTTTATCTATTCGGCATGCATATATCTTCAAAAAGGAGCTTCGTATTAAGCGATATATTAATTTCAGATAAATTTTATTGATTTAATATATTGAATGAAGCCGCTTAAGCGTTTGTCAATTCCGAGCTGATTGATGATTGACAGCGATTTAAGGCACAGTTAACGCTAGACAGTACACCTGGCAGCTGCTCGAGCAAAAGCAACAGCCCACGCACACACCCCCACACACACACGCACACACACAAACTCAGAGATCCATCAAACGGCGCAAAGCTCATTAATACCCAAAAAGGGGATCCGCAATGATGTTACGCGTAATTTAATTTTTGGGACACCCGCCAGCAGCAAATTCCTCACGCATAATTTCAGTTTGCACTCGGCTTTGTGTCGCGTATGTGTGGGTGTGTGTGTGTCTGCCAGTGTGGGTGCGATTGTGTGTGTGTGTGTGCGAGTGTGTGTGGGAGGCAATGGTAAAATTTTTGACATTTATTTAATATGCGCACGTTTTATAGAAAAGCAATTCCCAGTCGTATAATTTATGGCACACTACAAAAATTTGCAAATGACGACGACAGCGGAGGGCAGACACATATATATATATATATATATGAGTATGTATATGTGTGACATGTATACAATGCGTGTGTGTGTGTGTGAGTGTGTGTATTGGTGTGTATTTGGAATGTCGCAAAACATTGTAGCAATTTTCGTTGCGTTTGTTATTCCCATGTAAGATGTCAAACTCCCAACGAGCAGGCCAAACACACACACTCACACACACACATAGGCACACACTCACACACACACCCATAGACACAGTCACACGCTGTCTAGGCAGCGCGCTGCGTCTCTTGACGGCAGCGGCATCAGCAAATTGACATAATTTGTGACGCTGCCGCCTCCACCACCCGCAGCTCCTCCTCCACCCGCAGCTCTTGCTCCACCCGCAGCTCTTCCTCCACCCGCCAGCCCCCAGCCACAGGCTCAGCCTCAGACGCAGCCGTCGCGCTGTGCGCCCAGGCATGAGTGTGTAATGAGTGATTTGCCCGTGAGGCGCACATCGCAGATAGCGCCGCCAATCGTTGCAAGCAGCCCCCCGTCCCTCCCTCTCTCCCACCGCAAGCCAACCAACTGGCAGCGCTTGGATTTTGGCCAAGTGGAGCGTGCTGCGGCTTAGGTGCCCAGCTGCTTGTGGGGTCATTGGCATGGATTAGTCTCAGCGGCGGCGGCAACAGTTGACAGACTTGACAAATGTGTCCTAGTTTACAGCTGTCTCTATGTGTGTATGTGTGTCTGGTTAATAGTTATTTACACACGCACACACACACACACGCACACACACTCACTGCCACATGTTTAATTGGCCAAGCTTAATTGTTGCCTTGTTTATCTTAAATATTTATAATACATCAAAATATATTTTATTATACTCTGAAATATGTGCAATTAAATAGACCTGGCTGACCTGCCCCACAATGTTTGCATTAAATATTTACGAGCATTATGCAGCAATTTGTTTGCAATAATTACACCTGCGACAAAATAAAATCGTTCAGTGTGGCTATCTATAACTTTTAAAGCTTTAAATATATATATGATTTTAGTTGCTAGATCTCGAGAAAGTAACGTATAGCTATGCTGTCTGCCGTTTTTCTGTTATATAATTTCTTTGAAATATTTAGTGATATATGACGTTCATTATCTAAGATATCAGACTTTTCTAAAACTGTAGCGATTTTTATGCCTGCGGCCATTTTGCTCTCTATTTGTAACCAAGACAAATGGGCTTGACCTGTGTCTATATAGGAAATTTGAGGGTTCAATTCGCACATGAATTTTGACTAAGAAACATGTTGCCAGATTTAGATGCCAAACTGATCTAGAGGCCAAACTATTAACAAAGAGGCAAAGCTCATGTAAATCGGAAGAGATTTGACCGAGTTATGGGAGTGGGAAATTTTGACCTATGTCTATATAGGATATTTGAGGGTACAATTTTCACATGAATTTGGACCAAGAAATATGTTGTCTGATTTAGATGCCAAATTGATCAAGAGGCTAAACCATTAACATTATAATATTATTTTGTTTTAATTTATTTTTTATAAATTAGAATCGAACATTTTTGGATTTAGTCGAATACAGGTAAAACAAAAATATATTAAAATGCAACATTAAAAAAATATGAGGACGTCCTTAAGATTACAAACCATGCCAAAAATTATAATAAGTTAATTTAGAAAAATTCCCTCACTAACTGACAAATTATCCTGCCAAACTTCAGACTAGGAAATATATTTCTAAAAGTTTATCGACATTTTGCTCAAAACCAACTGTTTTTTCTCTTCATAGATTGTCGCTTGGATTTAATATGCCAAAGTTTTATTAAAGCAGCGATATTTAAACTGCGTTGACTTTGTGATAGCTGCTCTGATCTTATTAAATGCGCTGTATTAAAAGTTATTGCAAACTAGATACTAAGAGAGCCTTTCAGTTTTAGTATCTGATATTTGCTTTTTGCTGCAGTGCTCTTTCGGTGCTGGCACATAAGTTTTCTATTACACAATGTCATTTCACTTTTTCCTATTTTTTTAATTTTCCTTTTTTTTTCTTCTATTTTTTTAAGTAGCACAGGATGAGGCGGATACAAATTTCATTTGTTCGCGTTGCCGTGGCAGCTGTGTTGTTGTTGTTGTTGGTTTTGCTGTTGTTGTGTGTTTTTTTGTGTTGCATGCAAACTAC